CCACACCGAGTGAAACTTATTGTACACGGTACAAGATAAGGATAAGTTACGTCATAATAATCCTTATATTGTGAGGCCGTCGACAATTAAACCTTAAGCCTGAAGTTCCTTTCATAGCATAAAACAAAATATCAATCAAACACAAAAACAAAAAATAAACACGCAGTCAGTTTTCAATCAACTACGCTACATAACTACCGCAAGGATTCAATTTAGTGCCCTCCTTAAAGTAAGCGCCCCCTCTCTCAGAAGCGCCCCGTCACATTAGACTTTTTTTAATGAGCGCTCCTATTCTAATAAGCGCTCCTATTGAATAGGCACTCGCGTTCCAATAAGCACCCCCACACGAATAAGCGCCCCTATTCTGAATCACTAATAGCATTGTTTACATTGAGATCAACCGTGTTCCAACTTCCAGTAATTGCTCACGTAAAGCCTCAAAACAAAATCAATGGTCTATGTGTCCGTCTTTCAACTGTTATTTACAGTTCATTCATTGCGTGTCGATTACAGCTCAGCTGATCGTTCTAGCCAAGACCAGTCCATGGAAATAATCTGTCATTTTTCAGTCTTTTTAATCCTTTTGAAATAGGTAGGTTTGTCTCGCGCATTTTACTGTTTGTCAAGATGCATATAAGCGTTGTGTACCCATCCCCAGGTTTCTCTGTCCCACCATCATCACAAAAATTTTCAAAAATAATAAAGGAAAGAATCAAAGGGACAAAACAAGATAAATATTCGAACACTCTCGCCAAGATTCAGGTCTGTGCAATGTTTTGTGCGGGCGATATTCGAAAAAAGGTTTCTGTTGTACATAACCTGTAGTCGTCTTCTGAGGGCTCATAAACATTTACATGACTACAAATTCTCACACAAGGACTTTTTGGATTGCGAAATGTCAACAGATAAGTGAAGGTATCGATTCCATAGTTAGTGCCAAGGATCAGTCCCCCAAAGTCTATGGAGGAAGACCTAAAACCTATAACCCCAACTGGCCAGATATCTAAAGTCATGGAAGATTTCACAAGAGACTCATTACTTAAGCAGGTTAGGAATAGGCTTGACTGTAAACAATTTTCTATAAGTGGAAAATCAACAATCCATGCATTAGTCTATTTTGTGCATTTAATACTGATGTTTCTTGATTGTCCTGGAAATTGTATTGGAATATTTATTTGCAGACTTTAGTAAATGATTTTATCCTGTTGATCATAGTAAGTTACAACTTGAGCTTAAACATCTGGGTGTGAGCAATGTCTTAATTAGTCAAATGGATCTATGCTTTCCTTACCAGCAGATCTCAGATTGTTAGAATCAAAGGGGCCTTCTCTGCCCCCGTCTATCCTCATAGCCGGGTATCTTCCAAGGGATAAAGCTAGCCCCTATCCTTTTTGTTGCCTTGGTTAACAAGCTGGCTGACAATTAGCATCTGCGCACTAAATATGTGGATGACACAACTGTGATTGAGTGAATATCCAGATTTAGCCCAAGGTATCTCTTGTTTGTTGTTCAGGACATTGTGGTTATGATACTAGCCGAGGTATGCAATTAAATCCCAAGAAATGCAAAGGAATGGTTGTCAACTTTCTTGAATACCAACCTATGGTTCCAGATACCCTTAAGATACTAGGTAATGACATACGGAAAGAGTCTCAAGCTCCAAGGGACATATATATCTAATGACCTAAAGTGGAATTAGCATGTTGAGTATATTGTTTAAAGTGCTAATAAGAGGGCGCATGCCTCAAGATTACTTAAGAAGTCAGAGCCCCATTTTACTGACCTGGTGTAGATACATTGTTCATTAATCAGATCTCTTGTTGAATACGCATCACCTGGGTGGGCAGCTCTGCCTGACTATCTATCGGATATTATCGAAGCCGTTCAGAGGAGGGCATTGAAGATTATCTTTCCAGATAATGGTTATGAGGAATCATTTGTTTTGTCTGCCCTCCCCACCCTAAGTAAGCGCAGGGATCTTCCCTGCATCAGGTTTTTTAATGACCTTCCTAATACTGAGCCTTAAGGGTCTCTCTATATGGTGGAAGTAGTTCCTCATGGTTACAATCTTCGGTCAGGGGAATGCCTCCTTGTAGAGACACCCAGAGTTAGGACAGATAGATTCGCAGCTTTCTGTACCATTGAAGTCTCTCCCCATAAGAGGTAACCCTTGAGGACATATTTATGATAACTTTTTGAATGTAATGAGATTTTCGTGCATGCTGTTGAAATATGATTTATTAAGGGTTATTTATTACATCGAACGCAGTGTCCGTGGGCAAGAGGAAGCAAATCCAGTGTTCTGATTGGCAACCCGAGCAGGCAAGATGGGCCATCTTGCCCGCTCAAGATTGTCCGCTTTAATCCCGCACATGAAAAAATACAACAAAAATTACATTCGTAACTCTTGGAAAAATTCGGCGACGGAAAGGATAAAAGCGGCAGAAGATATTCAAAACAAAGAAAATAGAAACGACTCTCGTGAGTTTGTTGTGCAACAAACACAGTTGGCTTTCTTTCCCAGCTCTCGAAGGAAAAAAGTCATTCTCAACTCTTATCATAGGGCTATGTCTCAGGAGAACTGGGAACTACAGAATTCATAAATTTGATTGGCTGAAATCAATATTGAAAGCGGTCTATATTATCCCATCTAGACCGGCATCTAGACCGGTCTAGAAAATAAAAAGGTACAAAGAATATAAAAAAATTGCCATATAAGACACAGCCATATAATAAACCTCTTATTAACCGAGCTAGGTCGGTCTGCATGGGAGAATCTTGACTTCGATCGCCGGTACAGACCTCACTGCGTTCTGTCTGTACTGGCAACCTCGGTCAAGATTCTCCCATACAGACCTCCCGCTCGGTTAATAAGAACTAATTAATAAAGCGAAATCTTTTTTACACTTTTAAATGTGATTCGTGCGATGCGGATTATATCGGTTATACCACACGCCATCTTCATCAACGCATAGAAGAACATAAAGCTTCTGTCATTGGCAAGCATCTGAGGGAGGCCCACGGTGTAGCGTCCGCTGGCCTGGGGAAAATGTTTTCCGTTCTCAAGAAATGCCGCGGGAAAATGGACTGCCTAATCCACGAAATGTTATTCATTCGCGAACAAAAACCAAAGTTAAACACGCAGTCTGACTCAATACGTGCAAAAGTATTTATTTAAACATATACTGCACGATCTGACACCAATAACAATGAACGCTTATTATTCTAATAAAGTTATCACATTTTATTTGTATATAATCTCTGAGCTACAATTTTACATCAGTTTTAACATTTTACTTGATAATGAGGTCATGCAGACTTCGAAACGTCGTAGTTTTTTACCGTTAATTTTTATCATGAAATCTTTTTTAATATAGTAAATCTTTTATCAACCAAGCTTGTTCGGTCAAGATGGTTGAATATTAGTCTTGATCTCTGCCGATAAAAGAGTTGATTAAACATATCTATCTATCTATCTATTCATGTGAGGAGGTAGCGGATACTGTTGAATAGTGCTCAATGCACATGTGCAGAGCTCAATACAGTAGGTAGCGATCAAACAAGACGACACATGGTTTCTGTTACTCAGAGGTTCGTGCTTACGCACTCATCAGACTATCTATCTATCTATCTTTCATTCCACTAATCTATTCGTGTTTTTGTCGTTGCCATGTTCCCACCAATACCGTAGCTCCATTTTCTGCCTTTAAAAGCACGCACAACCCACAATTCCTCAATTCGCTCCGACGAAGGGCTAGCGCTAGAAACGTCAGGTTTTGTAATCGTTACGGTGGCCAACTTACCATTTCAAATTTGTTGATATATCCAAATTATATCTATCTATCTCTCTGTCTGTCTATCTGTCGATCTTTTCTTCAACCTACCTGCTAGTATGTTGATATCGTGTCAAAAAAAACCCGATCAAACTGAAAATTTGTAAAAAGATAAGAATTCAACTGTTCTCTTAAATCTCATATAGATTGATAATTCCTTATTTCTAAATTTGATGACGTCACGTGAAAACCAAGAATTAAATCCCCTTGTTCAAAAAAATGCCCTCCCTTGATGTGTCGAAAGTACACTAGCGCCCCGGACGCTAAATCAAAATTTTACGGTTTGCTCAATTCTCGAATGTTGTCACGCAAACTGGCTGGACATCATCAGTTATTCGTCTATAACTCAAACTTAAGAAGGGAATGTTCAAAGAAGTATAAAGACTTCGTAACCTTTGGAAATGACGAAAAAATCGAATAGTTATAGTTGACGGCCTATTTCAAAAGCGATCTGTTTTCACAACGAACTTAAGGGACCCACACACCATTTCAGCCACAGTCGTATGTGATGCTTGATATTCTTTCGGGGAAAAATATTGCGTGACGAGGGGTACACGTCCATTGAGAGACAATAAATTGAGTAAATGATCGAAAAAAAAAAAATTAAATAACTTAGTAATTGTATTCATGGTGAGTAATTTTAAGGATCAATCTACAAGATTTTAACTTTTCCATGTCCTTTTTGTAGATGCAAATTTACCTCCAATGAAAGGAAAAAACTATAACAACTATGGTTATAACGATGTAGATAACTTAGCTCTTCCCTTTCAGTTTTCAAAGCCGTTTTTACAAACCTGAACACCAGTGGAAGAATTGGTCCAACAACGCTGGGCAGTCACTACACAGGGCAGGATCATGACGGACAAGTTACGCTGTCCAGCGGCGTTCAACATTGGACTGTGCCGTACACTGGTGATTACAGAATAAAAGCAATAGCAGCTGCTGGAGGGTACGATATACACACTAACAGTATTCAGTACCGAGGAAGAGGAGCAAAAATGATAGGAACGTTCCGCCTAAACAAGGGTGAAGTCATTCAAATACTTGTTGGTCAAGAAGGAGGAATAAACACGGAATTATATACTTCTGGAGGTGGTGGAGGAACGTTTGTGGTGAGAGGAGCCAACACACCTTTGATAATAGCTGGAGGCGGAGGAGGGGTAGATAATGCAAGATCAAGACATAAAGGATGTGACGCCAGCACAAGCACAACAGGGAATCCTGGATACAAATCATGGTCAGGGGGGAGCAATGGTCATGGTGCACACACTGGCTGTAAATTTTCATAATGACGCGTTTGTAAAGAACTGTTAATTCACGACACCTTTTATTGATAAATGACTAACGTTTTACGACACCGGAAGTGTTTCCAAACCGGGCGGAGTATAAAGCGTGAGCTTTTCTGTATAAAACCGCTTCACTAAGGCTTTAAAGTTATGTAAAGAGCTCGCTTGCTTAATGTTGCTCCGTAAATCKTTCCATAATTTAATTGTGCGAGGAAAGAAAGAGTTTGTAAAATACCGCTGAGTATGAGTAAATAAAGGGCGGATGTTTGCAGGATGATTACGTCGGGTTGCGTATGTATGGTTGGCAGGAAGCAGAAGATTGTCAAAACTAGCGTTGATAAGACCTGACCTAATTTTGCATAAAATGACAAGATCATGGACTTCTCTTCTGAATTCAAGCGGCAGTAGGCTAAGAGTTCTCAGTCTCGCAGTGTAGCTGGTTTTCCTATCCGGGTGGTTAACAACAACTCGTTGGTATCTGTCAGAAAGATAGCTTGAGAACCACAACAAAACTGGACCGGATATACTAAGGAACTGAAGCTTCGAGAGGAGTAGCCTGTGTGGAACCTTATCAAATGCCTTTGACCGGTCAAAATGGATTACGTCCACTTCATGGCCATTGGCTAGTTTGTCTAAAATATCGTGATACACCTCAAGTAGTTGCGTTTCTGTATATTTTCCTGGCTCGAAGCCATGCTGGAGTTGGTGTAGAAAAGACGATAAATGAGGGTAGCAGTGATTAAACACGCATCTTTCCATAACTTTGGAGACAATGCATAAAATATAAATTGGCGTGTATTTCTCCTTTGGGGTAGGATCGCCCTTTTTAAAGACGGGTGCAATGTTCGCGCGCTTCCAATTTGCTGGAAAGGAGCCCGTAGACAGCGACATATTAAAGAGGCTGTATAATGAAGGGGCAATTTGAGCAATCCACCGGCATTACTTGGATCAATATTCGACAAAGCCTCCTTCACTTCAGCAACTGTAAGCATAACATTTTTTTGGAATGTCGGTTAGAAAAAGAAATAAACGCGAATTTGGCTGTGCATTTTCATGATGACGCGTACGTAAAGAACTGTTCATTTATGACACATTGTATTGATAACTTACCAACGTTTTCCGACACCGGAAGTGTTTCCAAACCGGAAGTCAGCTCTGTCGCTAGCCAGTTTTACTTGCGAATAGAAGTTAAAGGACTTACATAAGTGTATTTTTGGGATTATCAAAAATTTTATTCATAAAAAATGGAACTTGATCCCAATTAAGGCAATCGTATGATTCTTATTCAAGGATATCTGAGACATTTTACGGCTAATATTGGCTTGCTTATTTGACGGTTGAAGGCAAAATATTGCGATTTTGACAGTTGACGGTTGACGGTTAACCCAGCTGAGTTCCTCGTAGAGGTCATATTTACTGTAAAGACGAGTCAAGGTAGCGATACCCATGTTGGCGGGAGAACAGAGATTATTTGGCTCGAGGTCGTGACGTAAGGACCGAATGTACCACGTTCCGTGCCTCGTGACCGAGTATGGTTAGCCAAATGTTGCAAAATTCAACAACTTGCATATTTATATTCAACAACTAATATTTATGCTCAACAAGATATATTTTTATTCAACAGTTTACAGTTATATTCAACATTTCATATTTATGTTCAACGACACACATTTTCTTTTCATATTCAACCAAAATTATTTTTATTCAACAACAATATTTATTCAACTTCAATAGCTATATTTATTTTACTCAACAAAATTAATTGTTCAACTTCAGTCCAAAATTTTTACCCAACAAAAATAATTATTCAACTTCTACCACGCATAATTATTTAATGACATACCTTCTATTATGACTAAGTGTTCGAAAGTTCCCGGACATTCAAAATATCGTCATTCAACAAAATTCCCCGCCCCTACCCCGCNACAATCAGTGACACGTTTTCGACAAATTTCGCCGCTGATTCTAAGCAATTGATCACCCTCTCTATAAATGGTCGGGAAATACTGTTTTCTCCCTCTTCACAAACATTTAACAAACTTATAACATCCTCAAAGCAACTGAAGAATGAACCTTCGTCCAGTGTTATGGCTGCCATTTTGATTTTTGGCGCAAATTGAATGATCGGGTTCCAGTCCGTAATCTTCGTATTGGAAGGGAATGGGTTTCATGTTTGGGGGTAGTTCGGGGGTAGGGGCGGGGAATTTTGTTGAATGACGATATTTTGAATGTCCGGGAACTTTCGAACACTTAGTCATAATAGAAGGTATGTCATTAAATAATTATGCGTGGTAGAAGTTGAATAATTATTTTTGTTGGGTAAAAATTTTGGACTGAAGTTGAACAATTAATTTTGTTGAGTAAAATAAATATAGCTATTGAAGTTGAATAAATATTGTTGTTGAATAAAAATAATTTTGGTTGAATATGAAAAGAAAATGTGTGTCGTTGAACATAAATATGAAATGTTGAATATAACTGTAAACTGTTGAATAAAAATATATCTTGTTGAGCATAAATATTAGTTGTTGAATATAAATATGCAAGTTGTTGAATTTTGCAACATTTGGCTAACCATAACCGAGAGCCAAATATTTTCCCGTCCAGCCCGATCAAACTTGATTAACAAACATCTTATCATATGACCAATTCGAAAATTTGGTTTCAAAGCCAAATAGGATTTGGTTTCAAATACGACGCGGTGCAAGAGCGCACGCTGAACAATCACAATAAAGATCCTAGAGGAAAAAAATGTCCTTTGCTTTTTCGTGTCAGAACAAGAAACTCACCGTTCATTAACTCTGCAATTTTTAGCATTTTGGTAACGCGGTAAATCAACTCATAGTATCTTGGACAGGGGAAGTAAGACAAAACAGTTTATAAAACTAGGTATTACAGGTGCTATATACAAATACTAAACCTCATGGATAGCGGCTCAATTAAAATGCAGTATGTAAGGTTTGGCCGAACTGATATGGGTTTACTGCAGCGTTTTACAATAAAAGTAAAAAATTCCAAAATTGGAATGGGTTAGCATCCCATTTAAATATAGTTTCGCTTCTGTTTACGAAAATCTTAAAATATATTCATTGTATTTCAGGTGGTGGTGGTGGCGGGTTTTACTCCAGTGCAAGAAGTGGAATGAATTTTTATGGAACCACAGGATATGGTGGAGAAGGTGGTAAGGGATTTATTCAGGGAGGGGTGGGTGAAAGAGCCAGGTATAACGATGTCGATGGTGGGTTTGGTGGAGGTGGTGCAGCATATGGAGGAAAACTAGGAGGAGGAGGAGGAGGAGGAGGAGGAGGATACTTAGGGGGAAGCAGTGGAAATGGTGGTCGTGACACTTGTGGGGGGTGGGAGAGGCTCTTACAACGATGGAAACAACCAGGACAATGAATGTTGTTACAACAACGCTGGTCATGGTAAAGTGACTATTACGTTCCTGGAGTAAAAAAAAATGTTTATCTAATATGATAATGGCACTTAGAATTGAGCTTTCATTGTTTGGTATTCTAATGGACTGATAGCACTCAGTTAAAGTGCCAAATAAAGTGTAACTGTTTAATTTTTTAACCTTCTGTGAAACCCAAAAGTCACGCATCTTATTTTTCATTTGGTTTACTTTTAGCCAACATTTCTTTCGGTCATCTATTACATTAACTGAGCTCGGTACTTTTTTATGGTTGAAAAGTACAAATAGGGTTCTAAAACTTGAGATAATGAAGAAATATTTTTTTCAGAAGTCGAGTCTCACTCGTTATACTTTTTCACCAGGGTCTTAAGGAAAGGTCACAATATCGCACAGACCAATTATCACACTGTACAACCTAAAACGATAAGAAATAATTCCAGATGATTATACCTCCTGGAAGCCTAGGATTTAGTTTTGCCTGTTCTTTCAAATCAATCCTTTGATACGAATCTTCACTGACCTTCTTTTACCGATGTTCTCACTCTAGTCACTTC